GGTGAACCAAACTTGTATCGCTCGTCTCTCTCTCTCTCTCTCTCTCTCTCTCTCTCTCTTCTTCGTCGTTGTCTTCCTTGCAGGTGCGCGCGGCGGCTTCTTCACCCTACGAATCCGCTATGGCAGACTTCTACTCCGATGGCGCCTTCAGCTATGGCGCGCGACTCTCTCTGCGGCACACGACGATGGCGCGTGGAATAGCGGGTACCAGCTCCGATACCAATGCAATCAGACTCGCTTTCTTTCACAACTCACATGCATGTAAACCGGTAGCGCAGCAAACTGGCGACAAGCGCCCACGCAGAACTCAGAGATATGGTAACCAAGAACGCAGTTCAGATACAAGCTCACTTCAAACGGCTATGGTGCAACATCGCCTGTACAACTCTCGGTTCATCGCCAATCCAGCTCTGCTGTTCACACACACAGGATCATCCTGGATATCCCACACGCATCACACTGTACACACACACACACACACACACACACACACACACACACACACACACACACACACTACACTCTCCTATCAGCTATGGCGGGTATGGCCGCTTCTACTCCTATCGCTATGGCTAAGCTCTCCTTCTCGCCCACTTCATCTTCGGGCTCACTGCAGACCACCTCGCACAAGTCGCTGTGGCAGCACTTCCGCATGGCTTACGCAGGAATGCATGAATGGCTGGGCACTGCCTCTTGATTTGTACTTCTGTATCTCGTTGGTCTGCCCCTTTCCCATGCCCGTGGTGCACACAGTCCCATACAGTACTTGCTCGACTGGACTAGGACTGACTGGGACTGGTTCCGCCGACTCAGCAAGGGTGGACTTCACCACTTGCCCACTTGCCTCTACCTGAATGTGAGCAGGCTCCGAAAGGCCATTCCGAACCTCCAGAAGTCCGTAGACTTGGCCTTTCGGTACGGTAGCAGCTACAACCTTGACCTTTCAGGACGTTAGCAGCTACGACTTTGACGCTTCGGAGGAGCTACAGCTACGACTCCTAGGACCTACGAAGACCTCCAAACAACAGGTCTACAGATCGAACCCCTACCACCTATGGACCCTACGACAGTCCACCAACTGTTACAAATACATAGGTCACGGGTTCAACTACGGGGTCGACACAGATACTGTACACAGGTAGGGTGAGGACTAGGGATCCAGCCCTGGGATCTGCGTCCGCTACTGCGAGCAGGTGAATACCGTTTCACAGACGCTTTTGCGAGGCCACTGCCCTCGGGGCCCTACTTTGGCCACCGCGCAACTAAAGAAATTCGAGCAGTTGCGCAACGTCAGTTGGTTGAAAGAATCCAGGCCCTGGGCCGCCTGTGTGAATGTATGGAAAGCAGGCCCTGGGCTGGATACGGGTACTGGGCCGAACACAGGCCAAAGGCAGTTGGACGCGTGCAACCAACTCAGGCCCAAGGCCTGTTCTCGAACGTGCTGGGCCTCAGGCTGCCGGGGCCTATTGGAAGCTTCTTGGGACTAGACGCAGGCAGGCCACTTCGATATAGCAAAGGGCCTGCCTCCTCATTGGGCATTCGGGTGCTGGCTGCGTGCTGCGCAAGCGCTGCTGCGCTATTTGCTGCGCTATTTGCTGGCTGGCGCCTACGCGCTCACGGGCGAGCAGGGAAGGAGCAGGCAGCCATAGCCGAGCTGCGCTGCTGTGAGCTGGGTGTGGCGCGCGGTGGTCCTTGGGTGCAATCGGCATCTGTGTGTTGGGAAATGAGGTTGTGAGTGAGGCGAGAGACATACCTGGTGCTGGAAGCGCGCGACATTGGTCGCTGTATTCTCGTACTTCGGGAGAGTTGTTGTCGTCAACTTCGGCATTGTAGTATAGGCTAGATAGGATCTGCCACATGTAGTCTGGGCGCCGAGCGCCAGATAGGATATCCACTCTGGTTCTTCGTTGATGATGATGATGGGACTATTTCAGCATTGTCAATTATGAACTCTTGGTGTGTTCTTATTTGGTGAATCTCGTGATGCAATTCTGCTGTTGGTTCGAGGTCACGAGTATTTGGACTCATATGTATGATGCTGTTTGATTGCTGAAGTTCGCTATTGCTCATCTTCCTTGCAGTTTGGTATCAGAGTTGTGGTACGTTTGCGCTCATCAGGCGCTTGTCTTCTGCCTGGTACGGTACACACATGCGGTCTGCTTGGCGAGTTTGGTCGTAAGTGGTGTGTAGTGAGGAGGGCGGAGGCGAGTGAGTGGTGACCCAGGAGGTGAGGGGATCGCCAGGAAGGCTACGTGGAAGAATGTGGTCTGGACAGTGTGATAAGAACTATCTAATGTGCGATTGATGCTGAGGTGGAACGACGAGATAATGCTGGTTGTGCCGATGTAGTGACTGGTCATCGCAATCGCCATCAGGTCATCTGGTGAGATTATCTCTGTGGTTGGGGGCAGCTATTTGAGGTACGTTGCTGTTAAACCACCAGTACCTCGCTCAGCTATTGAATCCGAGCCTCTCAGCACGCTGTGCGCCAAGTCCTGTCGAACCACCGTCGCAATTTTCTTTTTCGTTTTGCCTGCGGCCTCCAGCCTATGCGGTCCGGCAGGCCGAAGCCCAAATGGCGCGGCGCGTAAACGGGAAGCGTCGCGGCCGACAGCTGGGCCAGGTACTGGTGGTTTAACCTCATCTACCGTCTCCGACACTTCTTACGGTGAGGTTGTGTGTTCCTTCTTGAGCGTCCTCTTATTGTGAGGTGTCGAGTGCACTCAACCTTGAGAGTCGGCAATGTTCACGTGGAGCATGTGGGAGAAGATGAGCGGAGCTTTCTGAAAGGCCCTGGACGAAGCACTGGGTCACGGTTACCATGCCAACCCACCGGGAGTAGAGCACGCATGCTTTGTTGCTTGTCCTTTCTTCAGCTTGCTGCGTTGTTAGATGGGTACCGAAGGGCAGGCCAGCCCTATGGGAGACGAGATCGGGCGTCTTTAAATAAGCACCGGAAGGGGAACCATTGGCTGTGATCGTCATCCGACTACGACGTAAAAGAATTCCTGGAGTCACTTGGGGGCGGACGTTAAATTGCCTCTGGATCAGCCAATGGTTGTAAGGCTCGCTGCACGCGAGGATAATCCAGTGCAGGGCTGGCCAGCTAAGCAGATACTCGGGGCACAGGGGTGGGCCAGACACACACCTTTAGACACGAGACGCTCTCGAGATTGCTTAGGGATGCTGATGTCAAGTGATGCTCAGGGGAACTAAGGGAGGGGTAAATTCAAGGTGATAAGTTCGAGAAAATTCCATGCTGTCCTATCCACACAAATGATTCTATTTTTATGTTTCGATTAGTTAGGTGTACAGCCATTGACATCTGACAGACAGCATTAGTTAGAACTGCTTCTTGTTCATGGTGATTCTGTTTGCGGACTAATCAGGCTAAAAATAGTTTCGTTTGTAGGAATCTGACTTACCTGTTGACCCTTACTGTATTTACTCCGAAATAGCCACCGGTTAATTGGTCTGTGTACTATGCTGCGGTAGGCACCTAGTGTGCATTAGTGCAGATGGTGCACAAGTTTTGTAGCTTACGAGTGACCAGGAGGACACTAGAGAGGACAACCGGATCTTGCGATCGGCAAGGCGCCCAGTAGCAAATTTGGCATTAGGACCAGAGAGTGACAAATTTTTATTCCGCTAGCGTAGAGAAAGGTTGCAGCAGCAAAGGAGGGTTAGAGCAGCAGAGGCTAGCAGGACAGTTGTGAGTGAAGCCGCAGCTTCAGAAGCCATGGCCTCCTCAGCATAGCAGTCTACTCAGGCTGGTAGTTCAGGGTCTGTTGGGTCAACGGTTGCACAGACCCAGAGTCGGTCCACTAGTGTAATGGCAAGCCAGGCAATAGTGTTGACCTCCGATGAGATCGCCATATAACAAGCAGCATTGCAGGAGGCACAACTACAAAAGGCGTCAGGAGATATAAAAGCGGAGAAACAAAGAATAATTAGAAGAAGAGCCAGGATGCAACGTAGACAAGCGGACGTTAGTGAGTTAGAGGAGATGGACTTTACGCACGTGACTGATGATGTGAGGATCGTACGGTCCGTCCTGCTGAATGTAATTGAGATGCAGGACCATAAGACAACCATCCTTCAGGATATCCAGCAAAGTCTGGCCCTGTTGGTTGGGCAAGTGCAGGTAACGTCGCCAATGTCCGGGCCTGGTGCGTTGTACAACCTCCTCCTTTTGTCCCACCGGTGACTGCGGTATCCCCATATGTAGCCCCATCATCGGTTGCGATCGTTTCCCTGGGCATGCCGCTATCAGGAGGGGTATCAGCAGGAACTAGTTTGCAGGTTCCTGTACAGACACTGTTCACTCAATCTCCGTTGCAGGTTGCAGTTACCCCGCAGCTTGCTGTCTCGTAGCCTGTGCAGCTACAGGGCACACAACCCCAACAGCTAGCACAGCAACCTATGTCACAGGGTCCACAGCCCAATGTGATGCAAGGACCGGGACAAACACAGTGGGTTCCAAAGACGGCCATCGTCGCTCCGAAACCCTTCACAGGGGATAAGAGAGGTGAAGACCTCGACATGTGGTTGAGGGCAATGCCAGTCTATGTAAAGTGTAAGCTTACCTTGCCGCATGAGGAAGTGTTAGTGGCTGCATCCTATCTAGAGGGTAGTGCAGCACGATGGTTGAGCGGTTTGGTGCAACTATAGGGATACGGTCATGGCTTCCGCTCTTGGGCAGCCCACCAGAAATTGGAGGACTTCCTCAAGATGGTGGAAGAAAGGTGGCATGATCCTCAGGAGGCTCAAAGGGCCACTGATGCGATCCTGACACTGCACACGCAGCAGTTCAAGTCAATAAGGGAAGCCACCGACGCTATAGAGCGTCTGATCTCTGTCCCTGGGGTGCACTATGACCCCCCAGGTTCTACTCACCTCCTACCTGAGTTGCTTCTCTTTGCCTCTCAGGAATCAGTTGGCATGTGAGGCCAACATTATTGTTCACAACTTCCCCTCGTTTAGCAAGAAGGCCCTAGACCTTGAGGCAAAGATAGGGCATGGACAGGCACCCACTACGGATGGTAGGAAGAAAACACTGCCTCCCAACTAGAAGGCGAAGGGTCGTTTAATGTTCGTCGAGAACGATAGTTCAACCATCGAGTTGGACGACAACTTCCAGGAGGGAGTAGGTTCAGAGGCAGGCAGCGTTGAAGCTTTAGGGGGAGGAGTTGTTGCTACTGAACCCCAAAAAGGTAAGGCGACCGGTAGACGCCGTGGAGGCTCCCGGTCTAGGAGTCAAGTTGACCCCAACGCTCCCCCATGGGAGAAGGCGGGTCTCACAGAGGACGTGTGGAGAGATCGGTACTCACATCAAGCTTGCATTCGTTGTGGTCAATATGGCCATAATAAGTTCAAGTGTCGTAACAAAAAGGTGACCGACACGATCCTGCCTACGATGGGGCAGGCCGTAGGATCCTCCCATCCCTTTGGCAGCAATGTTGCCAGCACTTCAGGCACTGCTTCGGGACACACGTCAGGCCAGTAGGAATAGTAGTTGTTCCTACTAAGGTCGAGATGGTGGAGACACCCTCACCATCGCGAGAGATGGCTCAAGCTACTGACTCCAGTGTCGTCCCACAAACACGTTTAGACCCATCGAGCCTCTGTTCGATGAATGTGTTTGAGTCCTTAGAGGAGCTAGAGGTGGAGTGGTCTACATCAGACCCGCTAGCTTCTTAAACGACCCTAGTCAAAGCCCCGAAGGGTGAGATGTTCGTCAGCGAGGTAGTCATTGGCAGCCGCAAGGCCGTGGCCTATTATGACACTTGCTCGACATGGACCTTTATCAGTTGCGCGTGCGTTGAGAGGCTGCGTTTACAGGGGCGAGTGTAGCGCCTTAGTCGACCTGTGGAGTCGACCTCTGCCAACAAACAGCGCATGGTAGTCAATGACTACCTCCAGGATGTGGAGTGTTGTTTCCCGTACGCGGGAGGGGAATTGAGACATCGCGTCTCGTTCCTAGTGAGTGACGAGCTCCCAATGGATATGTTACTAGGAATGTACTACCTCTCTGTGGCTCAGCCCCAGTTTGACTGGGACCAAAAAGTGGTCAAACACACTTTGCCAGGTGGGGGGACCGCTAGATAAGCTAGTAGCCTGATCGAGTCCCATGGATGCATTTGTGCGACCGTGTTCTATAACTATTATGAGCCAAATCAGGAGGAGGGTATGTACTTAGTTTATGTCTCTGCTGCAGGCGAGCCGGTGAAAATGCCGCCGGAGATAGAGGGAGTAGTTGCCAAGTACCCTGATCTATTTGAAGAGCCGGCGGGGGTTGTAGAGAGGGAGGTCGTCCACGCGATAGAGATTATCCCAGGGTCTAGCATCCCGAAGGGTAGGATCTATAGGATGTCTCCAGGCGAGCTCGATGAGCTTCGTCGACAACTCAAGGAACTCGTAGAGAAGGGTTGGATCCGACCGAGTGTCTCTCCTTATGGATCTCCAGTACTATTCGTACCTAAGAAGGAGGGTACACTTAGGATGTGCATTGACTATAGGGGCCTCAATGCCATCACTGTAAAGAACAGAGAGCCCCTACTGCGCATCGATGATTTGCTTGATAGAGTGCAAGGGTGTCGGTACTTCAGTAAGATAGATCTGAAGTCCGGGTACCATCAGATTGCAATCCGGCCCGAGGATCAACACAAAACCGCCTTTCAGACTAGGTACGGTCTGTACGAGTTTGTGGTGATGCCTTTCGGCCTTTGCAATGCTCCTGACACCTTTCAGCTCGCTATGAATCGGATATTCCATGACTACTTGATAAGTTTGTCATCGTGTACCTCGATGACATACTTATTTTTAGTAAGACTGTCGAGGAGCATGTTGCACATTTGGACAAAGTCCTCAGTCTCCTGCGACAGCACAAGTTCAATATCAACGGTGAGAAGTGCGAGTTTGGTCGCACCCGTGTCTTGTATTTGGGTCATGAGATATCCGCGGAAGGGTTGAAGCCCGATGACGCAAAGGTGGCCAGCATTCGTGATTGGCCACGTCCTCAGTCTGTGACTGAGATGAGATATTCTTAGGGATGACCGGCTACTATCGCAACTTCGTGGAGAACTATAGCATAGTTGCCTCCCCTTTGACTGATCTGACCCGCCTTGACACCCCATGGGAGTGGACTGACAGATGCGAGGCTGCTTTCAGACATCTGAAGCATGCGTTGACGCATTACGAAGTGTTGAAACTTCCTGATCCTGACAAGCCCTTTATAGTGTCTACGGATGCTAGCCAATATGGCATAGGCGCCGTGCTTGCACAACAGGAGGGGAAAAAGTTGAGGCCTGTAGAGTACATGTCCAAAAAGATGCCCTCTCAAAAGTTGGCTAAGTCCACCTATGAGAAGGAACTSTATGCGGTTTACAAGGCTCTGACCCATTGGAGACATTATCTCCTTGGGAGGTTCTTCATCCTCAGGACTGATCATCAGACTCTGAGATGGATGAGAACTCAGCCTGTACTCTCTGACACCCTCAAGCGTTGGATCGAAGTCATAGAGCAGTATGACTTCGAGCTCCAATACATCAAGGGCGGGTACAACAAGGTTGCTGATGCCTTGTTGCATAGGCCTGATTTCTTAGGTGCGCTGATTACTGAGTTTGGGCTCGAGGACAGTGTTACTCAGTCTTTGGTGGAAGCCTATCGCGAGGACCCGTTTATGGCCGAGATCATACGCAGACTAGAGGCGAAGGACAAAAGAACTTCTGCCGAGTTTGAGTTGATCAACGGCCTGCTGTTCCTTGAGAAGGCAGGGAATAAACGTTTGTGTGTTCCGAATAGCGAGTCTTTGCGCAGTTTATTTTTAGGAGAATGTCATGATGCCACCGGACGTTTTGGTTTTCAGAATGTGTTGCAGCGGTTCTGGTGGCCCACGATGATGAGAGACGCGAAGTTGTACGTGGAGACTTGTCACGACTATCAAAGAGACAAGCCACGTACTCAGGCTCCTCTTGGGCTCCTGAAGCCCCTTCCGATTCCGGAAAGGCCTGGTGAGAGCCTGTCCATGGACTTCATGGATACGTTGGTCACCAGCAAGAGTGGAATGCGCTACGTCTACGATATTGTGGATAGGTTTAGTAAGTTTGCTAGATTAGTTGCAATGCCCGAGACAACGAAGACTGAGCATGTAATTAAGTTGTTCAAAGAGAACTGGGTTACAGATTTTGGATTGCTGAAGTCTTTAGTCAGTGACTGTGATGTGCGATTCACAAGTGAGTTGTGGAAAGCCGCAGCTGCAGAACAGGGAAGGCAGCTGCAGATGACCTCAGGAAACCAACCCTAGGCGAATGGACAAGCAGAACAGTTGAACCGCGCTGTACAACACTTGCTGAGGCATTATATTAAGCCAAATCAGGTAGACTGGGATGAGAAACTTGCTCTCATTGCCAGCCTGTACAATAACACGGTCCACAACGCGACGGGCGTGACCCCAAATAGTCTGCTATGAACTTTTAAGCCTAGACTGCCCTTGGATTTCCTACTACCTGACAACCAGCCCTCTGCTGAACCAGGAACTTCAGAGTTTGCTTATCGATATGAGCAGCTGATGCAGCAGGCTGTTGAGCACATGCACAAGGCGCAGGCGGCGATGATAGTCTGCGAACAAACATCGCCGCCCATCTACGTTTCAGGTAGGGGAGAGAGTCTGGGTCAAGTCCTCAGAACTGGGACAAGAGCACGGGATCTCCCGCAAGCTCATGCCATAGTACTTTGGACCATGGGAGATTCTGGATGTTGTCGGGGATGAGCCAGATGGGCCTTCTTATGTTATTCGCATCCCTGGTTACTTACACACCTACCCTGTTTTTCACGCCTCCAAACTTGCACCTTTTAAAGAAACAGATCAGTTTACCTCTTGTCGCTCAATGCTGCCCCCAACCATGGACGGAGAGGTGGATATCGATGGTATCGTGGACCACAGAGAGCTGCCAGCGCCAAGACCCGCAGGCAGGGGACATCCTCCGAAACCGAAGCTGCAGTACCGCGTTCGGTTCCGGCATCACACTGATCCGAAGGAGGACCGCTGGTTCACCAGGGAAGAACTCATGCAGACCGTTCCGCAAGTTGTAGCCCATTACGAGAGATCTCTGCAGAAGGGAAAGCGCCCTATGCTTGAAGATTGAGCTTCTCAGAGGACTGTCGAAGCTAAGGAGGAGGGAATCAGAGGCCACTGCCTCTATGAGCACCATTCAGCCCACATTTTGGAGCCCGTCGGCCGCCCTAAGTGACGGCAGGCTCGACAAGGCCGTCAGGGCCCTACTTTGGCCACTGCGCAACTAAGGAAATTCAGGCAGTTGCGCAGCGTCAGTTGGTTGAAAGAATCCAGGCCTTGGGCCGCCTGTGTGAATGTATGGAAAGCAGGCCCTGGGCTGGATACGGGTACTGGGCCAAAGAAATGACAAAGGCAGTTGGGCGCATGCAACCACCTCAGGCCCCAGGCCTGTTCTCGATCGTGCTGGGCCTCAGGCTATCGGGGCGTACTGGAAGCGTCCTGGGACGAGATGCAGGCAGGCCACTTCGATATAGCAACGGGCCTGCCTCCTCATTCGACATTCGGGTGCTGGCTGCATGCTGCGCAAGCGCTGCTGCACTATTTGCTGGTTGGCGCCTACGCGCTCACGGGCGAGCAGGGAAGGAGCAGGCAGCCATATCCGAGCTGCGCTGCTGTGAGCTGGGTGTGGCGCAGGGTGGTCCTTGGGTGCAAGCGGCATCTGTGTGTTGGGGAACGAGGTTGTGAGTAAGGCGAGAGACGTACCTGGTGCTGGAAGCGTGCGACATTGTTCGCTGTATGCTCGTACTTTGGGAGAGCTGTTGTCGTCAACTTCGGCGTTGTAGTATAGGCTAGATAGGATCTGCCACATGTAGTCTGGGCGCCGAGCGCCAGATAGGATATCAACTCTGGTTCTTCGTTGTAGATGATGATGGGACTATTTCAGCATTGTCAATTATGAACTCGTGGTGTGTTCTTATTTGGTGAATCTCGTGATGCAATTCTGTTGTTGGTTCGAGGTCACGCCTATCTGGACTCATATGTATGATGCTGTTTGATTGCTGAAGTTCGCTATTGCTCATCTTCCTTGCACTTTTAGTACCGCTATTGTTTTTTGTTTTTTTTTTAATCTTGAATTTGGTTGGGAATTTCACCGAGACCCTCAGGCAAAGTTGTTTGCACTGAAATTTTGTACAACATACTTTTGCAGTAAACCGTGTTCAGCAGCGGCCTGGGCGCTGTAACCCAAGCCCAGGTCCAGCAAGCAGTGCGACCACGCGCTGCTTGGCCTGAGGCCGCTACGGGTGCTGAGTGACAACACACAACAAGAAATTCAAAGGTCGAAGTCAACTGTAGGTCCAAGTACCTCGCCCAGGCCCTTGGTCGTGTGCATTGACTTGTATGTGCGCAGGTACCCAGTCAGAATGGTGGACCAAGGAGGATACAGTTTCAACTCAATCCAGGCCGTCGACGACAATCGATCTCGGTCGTGTCTGACTAGAGGACTGGGGTCCAGACCCCGCCGTCAACGCTACATATTGAGCTCATTTCCTGGTTTTGACATCTAGACTCTCGTCTGAAGTCTATGCAGCCTCGACGCTCTCGCGTCAACGCCGGCTCTATGCTGTCTTGCTGGCGAGACGCTGCTGGGAGGACTTGACGACCGGCGCTCGTCGCTGGTTCGTGGCTTGAGCGTGCTGTGCGACCAG